CCGGCCGCCGTGGACGACGACCAGGATTGAGTCCGGGGAACAGCAGGTTCCGGAAATCCGGTAAGATGAAAAACGGAATCCGAAAAATAAGGGCGAGAACGCGGCGGGATCCGAAAACGCGGTCGAAATCGAACCCGAGGGCTTTTGCTTTTTTTTTTTTTTTTTTGCGAACTGTCGCTCGGGTTTAGAGAAGGAGGAAGAGGAAGAGGAGGAAGAGAAGGGCGGCCGAGTTGGCCGATCCGGCGCCTTTTCCGCAGAAACGTCCGCGGGGCTACATTTCCACAATGAGCCCGGGTTGGATTTAAAGCATGTTGTGTATGATTTACCCATCTTTGGCTCAAATATTGACAAACCCAGCAGTTGTTTATTAAATGTTTATTAAATGTAATGTAAAAAACCCTAATGATTGGGTTTGTTTATTTTTGACCCAACATTGGGTTATTAAACATATTTTTAGAGTGTTGTATATTTATTTCACTTGTTGTTTGTTGTTATGAAAATTGGGTTAATGCTTTTTTCAGTTACATTTAAATGAAACATTTTAATCCAGCTGTTGAGTTTGTTTATATTTGACTGGGTCAATAGAACTCATCATTTTAATATAGTGCATGATCAAGTATATTTGTGCCTGCAATTAGTCAAATATAAGCAAACCCAACAGTTGGGTTACAAAATGTTTATTAAATTGAATGTGAAAAAATCAACCAAATTGTTGGGTTGTCCATATTTGACCCAGCACTGGGTTATTGCAACACAATGTTTTAGAGCCTTTATTTAAGTGGTTCATTAACTAATTAAATTTAAAACTTTTTTTTTTTTACCCAATTCGTCCATATTTGACTGGGTTAATACAACCCAACATTTATAGTGCAAGATTTACAATGATTTAAAATGTGTTTTGTACACTAAACATGCTGGGTTAGGGAGACCCATTTTGGGTCAGATATGGATAAACCCAACATTTGGTTTGCAAAATGTCTATTAAATTTAATAAAAAAAACCAATGGTTGGGTTGCCCATGTTTGACCCAACACTGGGTTAATATACTGTAACATGTTTTATTTAGATTGTATTTGGCGTAATCGGGTTTACTTTATTTATAAATAACTTAAATCAAATAACTTAAATTTATAAAACTTAATCAAAAGTTTTAACCCAGCTGTTGAGTTTGACTGGGTTAAAATAACCCAAAATTGTACAGTGCAATATTTACAATCATTTAAAGTATGGTTTTGTATGTTTTAATCCATCATTGGTTGAAATATGAACAAGTGCAACAGTTGGGTTACAAAATGTTCATTAAGTTTAATGTCAAAAAATTAACCAAATGGCCGTCCTACCTAACAATAGGTTAATAAAACATAATATTTTAGAGCGTTGCATTTATTTAACTTAATGTCTGTTTTTAGGATAATTGAGTAAATTTTTTTTCCAATTAAAAGTTTTAACCCAGATGTTGAGTTTGTCCACATTTGACTGGGTTAATACAACCCATTATATTATAGTTTAAATTACAATGACAACACTATGTTAATACAACATAATATTTTAATGGGTAGCATTTATTTAACTTGTTGTCTGTTTTGGGGATAATTGGGTCAAATTATTTTAACTAAAAGTTTAACCCAGCTGTTGAGTTTGACTGGGTTAAAATAAGCCATAATTTTATTGTGCAATATTTACAATAATTTGGTTTTGTATGTTTTGATCTCTGGGTCAAACATGAACAAGTGCAACAGTTCGGTTACAAAATGTTCATTAAATTGAATGTAAAAAAAAAAAAACCAAATGGCTGTGTTTCCCATATTTGACCCAACACTAGATCAATAGAACAGAATATTTTAGTGTAGCATTTGTTTACCGTATTGTCTGTTTTGGGCATAACTGAGTTAATTTTTTGTCCAATTAAAATTCAATTAAAAGTTTTAACCCAGCTGTTGAGTTTGTCCATATTTGACTGGGTTAATACAACTCATTATATTATAGTTTAAATAACAATTACTTAAATTACGTTTTGTAGACACTAACAAATGCTGGAATTTGGTTACCCATCACTGGGTCAAATTCTGATAAACCCAAAATTTGTGTTTCAAAATTTGTAATAAATTGAATTGTAAAAGAATTAACCAAATGGTTGTGTTGTCCATATTTGACCCAACACTACGTTAATGCAACAAAATAATTTAGCATGTAGCATTTATTTAACTTGTTGTCTGTTTTGGGGATAATTGGGTCAAGTTATTTTAATTAAAAGTTTAACCCAGCTGTTGAGTTTGAGTTTGACTGGGTCAATAAAACCCATTATTTCATAGTTCATGATCTATAATGATTTAAAGTGTATTTGTACCAGTATTGGGTCAAATATAAACAAACAAAACAGTTTAGTTAAAAACGTTTATTCAATTTAATATAAAAAAATGGTAAAAAAATAGAAATGGGTTTGTTTATATTTGACCCAACAGTGGGTTATTATATTTTTTTTCCGTAGAGTGTAACATTTATTTACTTTTTACTAGCATCAGTTGTTGTCTGTTTTAGTGATAACTGGGTTCATTTAAGAACAATTTCAATTAAAAATTGTTCACCCAGCTGTTGAGTTTGTCAATAATTGTATGGGTTAATACAACCCAGTGCAATGTTTACAATGATTTAAAGTATGTTTTGTATAATTCAACACGTCTTTGGGTCAAACATGAACAAATTCAACAGTTGGGATACAAAATGTTAATTGAGGTAAATGTTGATGTTGTAAAATATTAATTATGCAAGGTTAAAATAATTAACCCAATGGTTGGGTTGTCCATATTTGACCCAACACTGTGTAAAAACAACCCATCATTATTTAGAGTATAGCATGTGTTAAGATTGTCTGTTTTGATGTTCTGCTATAGATGTGCTTTGACTAAATATTTGACTATTCAGTGACTCAGACAATGAGGATGACACATGTAAAGCAGCCCGGCTTCATTTGCTTTTGACATGGCATTAAGGGCTTATCTAAAATCATTTAATTCAAATAACAGCTCAGTCGTTTCCAGGAAGAAAACGCAGGGATGTAAACGTAAATGAATAGACATGCTGTAAAGAAATCGTAAACGAACATTGGGTCAAATATGGACATACCCAACCGTTGGATTACGAATGTCAATTTAATTGAAAGAATGAACCCAACATTGGTTCAATCATGTTCTTTTCCAACTTTGTCCCTTTATTAATCCGGGGTCACCACAGCGGAATGAACCGCCAACTTGTCAAGCCCATGTTTTACGCAGCGGATGCCCTTTCAGCTGCAACCAATCTCTGGGAAACATCCATACACACTCATTCTCAACCATACACTATGGACAATTTAACCTACCCAATTCCCCTCTTTGGACTATGGAGGAAACCGGAGCACCCGGAGTAAAACCACGCAAACGCAGGGAAAACATGCAAACTCCACACAGAAATGTGATATGACCCAGCCAAGGCTTAAACCAGCGACCTTCTTGATGTGAGGTGACAGCACTACCTACTGCGCCATCACATCACCCCCCTTTCAGATCATTAGGATCATGAGAAATTCCAAGAGTTCAATCAAAGCAGGGTGAATCCTCCTTCAGCTACTGCACCCCTCGCTGCTGGAGTTTTTGTCACCAAGTTACTGATTTAGTTCAGTGGCGTAGCGCAAAATGCGGAGGCCCCCCCTGCAGGGATCACAGACGGGGCCCCCAGTTGAAGGCAGGTGGTGGTGGTGGTGGGGGGGTTGGGTTCCTGGATGTTAGTATGCAATTTTTTTTTTTAATTATGAAAATTATAATTTTACATCACGTTTCTACATTGATGGATCAGTGATCGCTAAGGGAATTTGTGTTTGTGTGTACAGAAATGTACTATTCACCCTCCATGTTAAATTTGATCTAATCATGTCCTGAAACACAGCTCCTCTCCTGCTTTCACTGCTCATACTGACGGAGGGAGCGATTCGTTTGTGAATGAATCTCAGTTATGAACGACTCCTTCACTTGCCGACAATAATACAAGTTTCTGGCAGCGCAGCATCTCGTTGTCATATTTCTTTTGCATTGTTTGCTGATTTTATTCAACAAAACTAGCATAAGCCGAGTGTTTAGTGCGAGTTGGAGCTGCTTTGCCGTATGATGAATGCATAAGTGACTGTATTATCATCAATAACGCTAAGTTACCTGTTTAGCACAAATTTCAGAACATACAAAAACGTAAAAAACTTAATATTACCTATGAAATGTTCTGCCTTTGAGCTTTGTTTTCTTTGTTTGCTCGTTACTACACCCGTAGACAGCGCTAAAGTCCAGCATCTTTACATAATAATACTTCACTTCACTTTAATAACAGTCTTGACTAGTGCGGTTGAATGACATTTGTCCTGGGAGCACTGTACCAATGTGGCGGCGCTATTGACGCATGCTCAGGGTCCCTATGCTATATCTAGTGTATATATCTATGTCACAAATTGAGGAGCGGGGAAAGGAGGCGGAGTGGAGCGACAACGCGGGGAATCCTTCACAAACTGAGGAGCGATCACAAACCGAAAGCGGCGAGAGCGTCAAAGTAGCCAGAAGTCATTAATTTTTTAACGAGAACCGGCGGCGAGAAACAGCGACATGTCTTCATTGGCTATGACGCGGTTCGGCGGCAAGCAATCAGAATGAAGTAGTCCATCGCTTGAGAGGAGTTCAGAGAACACAGACCTGTGAACTTTGGTTCCGACTACAGTTGTTCTTCAGAGTTTGATTATTGCGGTTCCTGGATTTTCAATTATTGAAAATCGCAACGACGTGGAGCCCCCCGCGGTGCATGCCCTGCGGGCCCGTCCGCTACGCCACTGATTTAGTTGGAAAAATAAATACTACAGGAACAAATAAGTGAGAGTTCTGATGACAGATAATGTTTGGGTGAACTATTACGCTTTAAAGAGCAAATTGTATTACTGGAACATTCGTTGTTTGCTGGAATCATAATTTAGTTCTTTTTTTTTGCAGATAATCTGGCGCTAAAGAGAAACACCTCTCAGTCGTCCAGTTTTGGGTTTTGGTCTGCAGAAAGAGCTGTCGATGGTTCTCGAACTGGGCCAAAGTTATGGTCAGTGTGTTCATCCACCGCTAACCAAAGTAAGCCGTGGTGGAGGGTGGATCTGGGGGACGTTTACCGCGTTAGCAGAGTAATCATCACTAACATTAACAACAGCGTCGCAGACCGAATAAACGGAGCCCAGATTCACATCGGAAACTCTCTGGAGAACAACGGCACCAACAACCCCATGTGAGACGCTCCTTTCATTAAAACTACAGTCTACTAATGCTCTAATGGACCATCGAAATAAAGTGTTACCTTTATTTAACTTATTGTCAGTTTTGGGAATAATTGGGTTCACTTTTTTTCATTCATTCATTTTCTTGTCAGCTAAGTCCCTTTATTAATCTGGAGTCGCCACAGTGGAACGAACCGCCAACTTATCCAGCAAGTTTTACACAGCAGATGCCCTTCCAGCTGCAACCCATCTCTGGAAAACATCCACATATACTCACACACACACACACACACACACACACACACACACACACACACACTTTAGCCTACCAATTCACCTGTACCGCAAGTCTTTGGACTATGGGGGAAACCGGAATACCGGGAGGAAACCCACGCGAACGCAGGGAGAACACGCAAACTCCACACAGAAACGCCAACTGAGCCGAGGATCGAACCAGCGACCTTCTTGCTGTGAGGTGAACGTGCTACCCACTGTGCCACTGCGTTGCCCACTTTTTTCAATCTAATTTCAATTGAAAATGTTTTTATCCTGTTGTTGAGTTAATGCAACTTACTTTATAGTGCATGATTTACAATGATTATTTGAACTAGTGTTGGAACAAGTGTTGGAACAAACATGAACAAACCAAACAGTTTGGTTTCAGAATGTTTATTAAATTAATTGTAAAAAAATTACCCAGCTGTCCATATTTGACTGGGTTAAGACAGCCCATCATTCAAGAGTGCAATATTTACAATAATTTAATGTATGTTTTGCATGATTTAACCCATCATTGCCATGTCACCCTGCAGCCCGAGACGGGTTACTCACTGAAGCCAAGCAGAGCTGAGCCTGGTTAGTACCTGGATGGGAGATCACAAGGGAACACTAGGTTGCTGTTGGAAGTGGTGTTAGTGAGGCCAGCAGGGGGCGCTCAACCTGTGGTCTGTCCTAATACCCCAGTAAAAGTCAAGGGGACACTACACTGTCAGTGGGCGCCGTCTTTCGGATGAGACGTTAAATCAAGGTCCTGACTCTCTGTGGTCATTAATAATCCCATGGCACTTCTTGTGAAAGAGCAGGGGTGTAAACCCGGTGTCCTGGCCAAAGTCTCTCTATCAGCCCCTACGATCATGGCCTCCCAATCATCCCCATCCACCGAATTGGCTCTATCACTGTCTTTCCACTCCACCAATAGCTTGTGTGTGGTGAGCGCACTGGCGCCGTTGTCTTGTTGCAGCCGTCGCATCATCCAAGTGGATGCTGCACACTGGTGGTGGTGTGGAGAGACCCCCCCTCATGATTGTAAAGGCTTTGGGTGCATGGCCATACACAATAAATGCGCTATATAAATACACATTACATTACATTACATCATTGGATCAAATATAGACAAACTCAACAGTTGGGTTACAAATTTTATGAAATTGAATGTAAAAAATTAACAAAATGGTTTGGTTGCCCATATTTGACCCAACACTGGGTCAATACAACAGCGATTTTAATGATGTTTGGTACACTAAAAAATGCTGGGTTGTGGTAACCCATCATTGCTTCAAATATAAACCAACCCAACAGTTGGGTCTATCAAATTGTCAATAAAATTTACTGTAAAAAAAAAATAAACAATACAATGACACGGTGGCTCAGTGGTTAGCCCTGTTACCTCACAGTAAGAAGGTCACTGGTCCCAGCTGGGTCAATTGGCGTTTCTATGTGGAGTTGCATGTTCTCCCCGTGTTGGTGCCCCTACAGTAAAAACACACGCGATATAGGGTAATTGATGAACTAAATTGGCCGTAGTGTATGAGTGTGTGTGTGTGTGTGTGTGTGTGTGTGAGAGAGAATGAGTGTGTATGGGTGTTTCCCGGTACTGGGTTGCAGCTGGAAGTGCATCCGCTGTATAAAATATATGCTGGATAAATTGCGCTGTTGTGCCCCTGATGAATAAAAGGACTAAGCAAAAGGAAAATGAATAAATGAATGAATGAATGAATTATCCAATAGTTTTAATACAACCCAGCTTTATTTAGTGTAGCATTTATTTAATTTGTTGTCTGTTTTTGATATTGTACTATACTGTAGGTGTGCACTGTAAAAAGCGACTTGTTGACTTTGCTTTAAAAAAGAGAGTAAACTCATTGACTTATAATGATTAAGTAATAAACTGTGCTGCTTTTAAGGCGATGGGTTTACTCACTTTTTAAAGTAAAGTAACTAAGTGCTTTTTAAAGAGCTTTGCCGATGTTGGGGAACTATCCTCATCTCCAACAATAGTCTCCTATTATTAAAGTGATAGTTCTGTCATTACATGTTAAGAGTAGACATGAGTCAGTATTCAATAATACATTATGTTAGGGATAAAGCACATCCAGGAGGTTGTTATTGTATTAAACACTCAACAAGTTTATTTGCAGCCCGACTGTTGTATAAGACTGAAGGGTTTATTCTGCTAAAACAACCTTCTGTGTGTACTTTGTCCCACTTATCACACGACTACTTGCTACAAAACTTTGTTCTGAGCTGTGATAGCTAGTAATTAATTCTTTAAAGCTGACAGAGATGAAAACAGTTGAATGGAGCATACACTAACCTGAGTTTTTTTTAAATATATTTTGTGACATTTGAATTGATATTTTAGGTCATCTTTATATTTTTGGGCTTCATTTATTTTATGGTGGTTATTTTTTATTATGTTTTTTTTATTATAAGCTGTTTCTAAAGATGAATGAATATCTTAAGCAGTGTTGGGGAAAGTTACTTTTGCAAGTAGTGCATTACAATGCTGAGTTACTTCCCCCAAAAAGTAACTAACCGCATCACTTAGTTATTTTTTATGGTAATGTAACCCCGCCGGTCCTACACCACCCAACCCGCTCCGAGCTGGAATCGAACCGCCGACCTTCCGCATGGGAGTCGGTTGCTCTAACAAAGAGGCTAAAGACCATGGCCTCTTGCGCCTGTCGCTAGAGCACCTTTACTGGTTAGAGGAGTGAGGTTTACCTGCACAGCACACACTAGCTGGGCTCCGTTACACTCACCCCCCTAAACCTCACTCCCATCCGGGTCACAGCACCAATGTAACCCCGCCGGTCTTACGCCACCCAACCCGCTCCGAGCTGGTATCGAACCAGCGACCTTCCGCATGGGAGTCGGTTGCTCTAACAAGGAAGCTAAAGACCATGGCTTCTTGCGTCGGCCGCTAGAGCACCTTTAGAGGTCAGAGGAGTGAGGTTTACCAGCACAGCACTTACTAGCTGGCCTCCGTTACAGTAAGCAATGCATTACATTACTTTTGCATTACTTTTTCTGACCTGACTGAGGCTTGATCTGTTTCAGAACAGAAGGGCTTCTTCTTCTTTTAGATGAGGTCTGTGATTAACAACATACTGGATAATGTAAGATAATGTCACCTTCTGAGAACTTACAGAGTTCTACATGCCATATATACAGAGTAATGAAAGTTTGAAGCAGTGTGTCTGCTGTGTTTGTTCTTTTAGTTTTAGTAGTGCAGTAAAATCATGGAGCGTGTATTTAGACTAATCCCCTTTTCCATTTCTTCATGATAATGAGAATACTAGAAATGTAAGCCAAAGCCATCTTGCTTGCCATCATACTTTTTAATTCGCAGACGATGTTGTTCTGTTTTGTTCATCGAACATGGATCGTCAGCATGCACTGCTGAGTGTGACGTGGCTGGGATGAGAATCAGCACCTTAAAGTCTGAGGCCATGGTGCTCCACCGGAAAAAGATGATTTGCCATCTATGGGCTGGAGAAAAGTCCTTACCCCAGGTGGAGGAGTTCAAGTATCTTGGGGTTTTGTTCATGAGTGAGGGAAGTATGGAGCGTGAGTGTGATGCAGCAGCAGCAGCAGCAGTAATGCGGTCGATGTACCAGTCTGTTGTGGTACAGAAGGAGCAGGGCTGAAAGGCAAAGCTCTTGATTTACTGGTCAATCTACGTTCCTACTCTCACCCATGGTCATGAGGTTTGGGTCATGACCAAAAAGACAAGACCTCAGATACAAACGACTGGAATGAGTTTCCTTTCGCAGGGTGCCAGGGCGCACTCTTATGGATAGGATGAGAAGCTCTGTCTCCCGGGAGGAGCTCGGAGTAGAGCTGCTGCTCCTCCACATTGAGAGAAGTCAGCTGAGGTGGCTCGGGCATCTGTTTCTGAAGCCTCCTGGACGCCTCCCTAGGAAGGTGTTCCAGGCACGTCTTACTTGGAGGAGGCCTCGAGGAAGACCCAGGACATGCTGGAGGGACTCAGCTGACCTGGGAACACCTCAGGTCCCCCCAGGAGGACCTTGAGGAAGTGTCTGGGGAGAGGGAAGTCTGGAGTTCTCTCCTAAGACTGCTGACCCGGCCCCGGAAAAGCAGTTAAAAATGAATGAATGAATGAATGAAACTCAAATATTATTAATTAATTTGTTAGAGTAACGCATTACTTTACTTGTTAGGAAAGTTTTATTATTATGTAACTCCCATTACTTGTAATTCATTAACCCCAACACTGGTCTAACTAGTTTATAATAATATGAGGGTAAATAATTAGTAACACAAGAATATTCATTTTTGCATTACCTAACTCTTTAATAACCCCCTTATTACTCAGTTATTAAAGACTAAAGCTGTTTTCTCTTCAGGTGTGCTGTGATTTCCAGTATTCCAGCTGGAGTTTCTGCAACCTTCCTCTGTTGTTTTATGGAGGGTCGATATGTGAGTCTGTTCATTCCCGGAGACTCAAAGATGCTCACTCTGTGTGAAGTGGAGGTCTATGTAGAAGGTGCGAAAATCCAGCTGTAAATGGGGTTTTAATGTTTAAGATCACGTGAGGTGCTTTGAAATGTCAATTCAATTCATTTTTATTTCTCTAGCGCTTTTTCAATGAAGATTGTGTCAAAGCAGCTTAACATAGAAGATCATAGTGAATTGAAACACTGTCAGAGTTGAAGTTCAGTTTAGTTCAGTTCAGTGTGGTTTAATATTCACTGCTGAAGTCCAAACACTGAAGAGCAAATCCATCAATGCGCAGCTCTACAGATCCCGAACCATGCAAGCCAGTGGCGACACTGGAGGAACAAAATTCACTAATTGATGAAAGTAAAGTAAAAAATCTCGAGAGAAACCAGGTTCAGTTGGGCTTGACCATTTCTCCTTTGGCCAAACGTCTTGTGCAGAGCTGCAGTCTAGGCGCCGCAGGCTGGACGTCCATCGTGGAGAAGCTGCAGGTGTGAGTCGGGTGATCAGGGTGGCTCTCAGGATCAATGCTCATCTGTGATTGTAACAAATGTGCATTTTTAATTCAATGTTTGACATAATCTCAACTGAAATATGAAGAGAGGGCGGGCATACAGTAGCCCCTCCCCTTTAAAAAGCAGCCAATAGCATTTAGTTTTTTCTCACAACTCTGCCAGTAAGAGTGTTTGAGCTCAAGCGCATCAAATGAACAGCCTATGGGAAGAAGGGGGTGGGGTATGTCTAGGGGGTGGGGTATGCCTAGGGCGGCAGAATAGAGAGGGCAGCATCCGAACACCTCCCGCACCACTCGCGACCGCAGTTATACCCGCGCCTAGGGCGGCAGAGAGGGCGGCATCCGAACACTTCGCGCACCATCTGCGTCCACAGTTATATCTGCGCCTAGGGTGGCAGAATAGAGAGGGCGACATCCAAACATCTCCCACACCACCCGCGTCCGCAGTTATACCCGCGCCTAGGGCGGCAGAATAGGGTTCTTCACTTTGATAACCGGTCATTTTCGTTTTCACTTTCGGTTTGAGGGCGGCGTAATCGTCCTTTGCCTAGAGCGGCAGTTCAGCTAGCTCCGGCCCTGGGTATGTCAGATACTCGAGAGCATTGGATTGGTCAGAAGATTTGATGAGAAACTAAAGTATGAGAAGACCATGTCTGTTTCTCAATATGCATTCTTTAGCGGTCCTGCGTCCTCATGTTCTCGTTTAACATCATCAGCTGCCAAAGTTCAGTTACAATACTCAAGACCGCGAGAACAGAAGATGCATGAAACTTCCTGGATGTGTTCTTGATATGGAGGATGCACCTATGCAGACTTGAGCACTGATCTTGCTCGAGAAGTCCCAGAAGTCATTGCAACTGGAGGTGGGAAGTGCGGCATTTAATTTGGATTTATCAACCCAAGCTCATACTGAAAACGTAGTTCCGCGGACGTTTCTGGAGACAGCGATTTACATGGCCGGAGGTACGTATGGCTGCATTTGTTTTTTTCAAGCGAACGCTACCGGGCAGTGTGACGCTGCTCCTCTTCGCACTCGCCGGCTGGGCTGACGGCTCAAATGGCACGCACGTGCTTGCGAGAGGCTTTCGAGACGCAAAAAAAGCGTGCACAGTGGCCTCTCGCGGATTCGCAAAAACAAAAACTGCACAAATACGTACCTCCTGGGACAAATTTCGTGGTCTCCAGAAACGTCCGCGGGGCTACGTTTCCAAGATGAGCCTGGGCTGAGATTTATTGTTAAAGTTCAGAGATGTAACTTATTTACATAAGGAGTTTTCCTAAATGAGATGGTGAATATAAACATTAGCATGGACATCTTAATAAAGGAATAAACACATTAAGGGTGTTTGCTGAAATTCATATTAAAATCTGTTTTATTTGTATTGTGCAGAGTATATTGATAATGTTTTAATGCAGAGTATACATTTTGAAAAGGGGGAAAACAATAAATCGCTGCATGAATGTCGAATGTTTAAGAAAAATTCCATTCAAAACACGTGAAGGTCATCTAACCATCAGGAAGAACGCAGCGTCTGATTTCCCACAGCACTCTCCCGAGTTCGTTCTTCTGAGGACTCCTGGCAAGACCGGTCTCCAGAAGGACGCAAGTCCGTTCTCTGCGTTCTTGGAATTTAGAACAGCCATTTATACCTCATTCTTGCAAGCAGCAGCTTTGTAGCTGCCTGTCTCTCTGGGTGGTGACCTGCTGCAAATGCAGGTCTGTGTAGATATATGAACACAACCGGCCTGTGAGCGAGCTGAGAGAGGATCACATGAGCTCTACTAGTGCTCCTATTGGCTGTCGCTCAAGAAAGTTGCTCTTCATTTGCATAAAGTTAAAGGATTCTCAACTTTGTCACGTTGCTCAACACGCCCACCTGGTCGCCAACAATCATTGTCACTCACATAGATGGAAGTCGCCGGACGTTGCTTGCTCTCCGTTGAAATGAACGGTCGCTTGTCGCTTCACTGCTGCGAGTCGCTTGTAGTGTGAATGAGGCTTTAGGAGGAAGTGACAAACTCAACCCAGGCTCATTCTGAAAACGTAGTCCCATGGACGTTTCTGGAGGCCGCGAAATACGTCCTGTAAAGTACGCATTTTTGCAATTTTTGTTTTCGCGAATCTGCGAGAGGCCGCTGTGTGTGCTTTTTCGCATCTCAAATGTCTCTCGCCCACGCTGTTCTCGCATAAACCCACAAGAGGCCGCTGTGGACTTACTAAATGACAGAATGATTGATTAAACCCAACCAATTTTACCGATTGACCCGCCCGCTTACTTCCCTAAACTTCCCTATTTTTTGGATTCAGTTTTTGTCTTACCTGATTTCTGGAACCACTTTTCACCGGACTCAAACCCGGTCATCATCATCAACTCCTCTCTGCATCTCAAGTCCGTCGTTTTACACGATAAGCTAACTGGACAAGCTGGTTGCAGTGGGAAAGCCCTCCACACAGGGGTAAGTGGTCAGCCGGTCAGCACCAAAAGAAACGACGTCATACCGCCCCATAGCGTTCGCTTAAAAAATTAAATGCAGCCATGCGTACCTCCGGCTACATAATTCGCAGTATCCAGAAACTTCTGCGGGACTACGCTTTCAGAATGAGCCTGTGTTGGACAAACTGCAAGCTTTGGATGTTTTTTTTTTTCTAATCAAATGTTGTCCCTGTTTTTGAGCACACTAAATTGTAGATATCCTTAAAACTAAAAATACTGATACCAACATCTAATACTATTGTGTTTTAATGTCATGGGAGCTTTTAAGCCAGTTTTATGAATGGATAATTTCCAAAATGCACCCACAATTCTGAGATGAGTGTAGTTTTGAATGGAAGTTTAAAGATATTGTCTCAGTGTGGAGAGGTAAGCGTGATCGAACACCCAATCAGGGGGGAGAGCATGCTAGGAGCCCGGCGGCTAATCAGCGGGTCAATCAGAAATGATAAATAACACCTGTCTTTCTAGTGATTGGGCCGGAGAGACTCCCTTCTTAAGGAGAACGGGAGGAGCAGTCGGGAGAGGAGAGAGCACACACACACACACACCGTTACCTGTGTGGTGTCATTAAACAACAAATAAAATATTTGCTTACCTGAATCGCCGACCCTGTCTTCTTCTTCACTCAACAACGAACATTATTACAGTGGTGCCGAAGCCCGGGAAGAAGAAGAAACTTCGCTGCCAGAATGTCTACTCCGTCGACTAATCCATGTGCGGAAGTCATCCAGGCGCTCGCGGTTCTCCATCAGGAACAACATCATGCGCAGGTGGAGTTGAAGAAAGATCTAGAACATCGTTTCCAAGTCCTCATGGAGGCCCAGCGGGAGGACCGCGAGGTAATCCGGAGTCTGCTGACGCAGGAGATCCAGCCCGCTTCAACATCTACCGCCCACCCTCCCATTACGCTACAGAAAATGGCGCTGGAGGATGACCCGGAAGTGTTCCTGGATCTTTTTGAAAAGATGGCTGAGGCGTGTGGCTGGCCACGGGCTGAGTGGCCGGTACGAGTCATCCCGCTGCTCTCGGGCGAAGCCCAGATTGCCGCACAGCAGCTACCGGCCCAGAATCTCCTGGAATACGCTCATCTGAAGTGAGCTATTCTCCAGCGGCCCTTTGCGTTCGCCCAGCAGCTCCGTGACGCCTGCCGCAGATGGCTGGTACAGGATGGCCGAACCACCGCCCAACTGGTGGATGCCGTGGTGCTGGAGCAATTCATCACCCGCCTCCCCTCCCGAACATCGGAGTGGGTCCAGTGCCACCGGCCTGACGATCTGGAGACGGCTATCCGACTGGCGGAGGATCACCTGGTGGCGAGGTCCAGGGTCGGCGAAAGAACCTCTTCTCTCTCTCTCTCTCTTCCCCCTCTCTCTCTCTCTCCTCCTGTTCCCAGGCCCAGACGGCGGGGACCGCCCACACCAGCACCCAGGCGGCGGTGCACAGAAGCGGATCCGCTGAACGTCCCAAGGGGGGCGAGGCCCTATCTGGATGGAGGGGTGGAGCCACGACCCCTGGCGGTTCCCCAGACAATGACAGGTCTCTCTCCGGTTCAATCAGTTGATACTGCTGGCCCCGGGGGTATAGTGAGAATGTCTGGGCCGAGGTATTGGCACCGCGGGCACGAGGATAGCGCACCAAAAGTTTGCTCCATGAAGGAGGTGAGTGCGCTGATTCGCGTTCCCTCCACGCCAATCGTCGCCCCCGGTCGCGACGGGTTATACCGGATACCTGTGAGTATAAAAGGGGGTACATATCAAGCTTTGGTGGATTCGGGGTGTAACCAAACCTCCATCCATCAAAGCCTGCTTCAAGACCCGGCATTGGATACGAGCCGCACTGTAAGGGTAAGGTGTGTGCACGGGGATGTTATTCACTACCCGCTAACGGCAATAGATATTCAATTCCGGGGGAAAAAACATAGTGTAGAGGTAGCGGTTAACCCGCACCTCAAACACCCGCTAATTCTGGGAACTAATTGGCCTGGATTTAATAGATTATTGGGAGTTTTATGTGCGGGTGTTTCTTGGAAGAAGAAATCGCTGGATAGGGGGCGAGTCGCTCAGCTGGGGGAATCCCAAGCAGTGACGTCACGCACTGACTCAGGGGAAGGGCTGGGAATTTCCCGGTGTAAAGACTTTCCCCTGGAGCAGTCGCGTGATGATACACTAAAACATGCACTCGAAAGAGTGCAGGTTATAGATGGGAAAATCCTCCAGCCTGATAGACCCCTCTCCTATCCGTATTTTGCGGTGATTAATGATAGGGTGTATCGAGTGACCCAAGACGCTCAGACAAAAGAAGATACAACCCAGCTATTAGTACCAAAGAGCCGCCGGGAAATGCTTTTTCAGGCGGCTCATTCTAATCCTATGGCCGGACATTTAGGTCAGGCGGCCACACTAAATCGCCTCATGACCCGATTCTTTTGGCCGGGCATTCACGGTGACGTCAGCAGATGGTGCGCGGCGTGCAGTGAATGTCAGCTGGTAAATCCACCAGCCACCCCAAAAGCGCCGTTGCGCCCTTTACCAATTATGGAGATCCCCTTCGAGAGAATTGGTATGGATCTCATCGGGCCATTAGAGCGATCTGCACGCGGGCATCGGTTTGCATTAGTTCTGGTGGATTATGCAACCCGCTACCCAGAAGCAGTCGCGCTCCGTAACATCTCAGCAAAGAGCGTTGCGGAGGCGCTGTTTCGCCTCATCTCCCGTGTGGGAATCCCCAAGGAGATTCTCACTGATCAAGGCACCGCGTTCATGTCACGCACGATGCGCGAGCTTTACGGATTATTGGGCATTAAATCTATTCGCACGAGCGTCTATCACCCACAAACAGACGGGCTGGTGGAAAGATTTAATCGCACGCTTAAATCAATGATCCGTAAATTCGTTCACGAGGACGCGAAAAATTGGGATAAGTGGTTGGAGCCCTTATTATTTGCTGTGCGGGAGGTTCCCCAAGCCTCTACGGGGTTTTCCCCCTTCGAGCTTCTCTACGGCAGACAGCCCAGAGGGGTTTTGGATGTTGTTAGAGAGGCTTGGGAGGACGAGCCTTCTAAAAGTAAAAATGAAATTCAATATATCCTGGACCTTAGAGCAAAACTCCACACACTGGGGCGGCTCTCTACAGAGAATTTGCTTAAGGCTCAGGATGACCAACGCCGGCAATATGATGAGGGCACTAAACTCCGTAAATTTTCACAGGGAGATAAAGTACTTGTACTGCTACCCACTTCCAGCTCTAAATTACTCGCCAAGTGGCAAGGGCCTTTTGTGGTCACACAACGAGTCAGTGATCTCGATTACGAGGTGGTTCGTTCGGACAGGGCTGACTCGCGTCAGATTTATCACATTAATCTGCTTAAGCAGTGGAGGGAGCCGGAGGACGTGGCGCTGGCTACGCTTGTTACTAACGAGGATGACCTGGGGCCGGAGAGCTCCGGCCGTGAACGGCCGAGCGCTCTGGTCACCGGGGGCGATCATCTCTCAGCGAGCCAGCTCCTCGACATCCGGCACCTCCAACGTGAATACTCTGACGTGTTTTCACCCCTGCCCGGTCGTACTAACCTGATTCAGCACCATATCGAGACCGAACCGGGCGTGGTCGTTAGGACCCGGCCGTATCGCCTACCTGAACACAAGAAAAAAGTGATTCAGGAAGAATTGAATAATATGTTGAAAATGGGAGTAGTGGAAGAATCCCACAGCGACTGGGCCAGCCCGATTGTCTTGGTGCCTAAGACGGACGGCTCGGTCCGGTTCTGTGTGGATTATCGCAAGGTGAATGCTGTGTCAAAATTTGACGCTTATCCAATGCCGCGTATTGACGAGTTGCTCGACTGGTTAGGTGCTGCTCGATATTACTCGACATTGGATTTAACGAAGGGATATTGGCAGATCCCCTTATCTCCAATATCCCGCGAAAAAACAGCCTTCACTACGCCGTTTGGATTGCACCAATTTGTGACGCTTCCGTTCGGGCTGTTCGGGGCACCGGCGACGTTTCAGCGCCTGATGGACAAAATACTCGGCCCTCACACAGCATATGCCGCTGCTTATCTAGATGATATCATCATTTACAGTAATGACTGGCAGCGGCATATGCAACATTTGAGGGCGGTATTGTCGGCGCTGAGACGGGCCGGGCTCACGGCCAACCCACGGAAGTGCGCAATTGGGCGAGTGGAGGTAAGGTATCTGGGCTTCCACTTAGGTCACGGGCAGGTGCAGCCCCAAATTGATAAGACTGCAGCCATTGCAACCTGTCCGAGACCTAAGACCAAAAAGGAGGTGAGACAGTTTTTGGGGCTGGCAGGTTATTATAGACGTTTTGTCCCTAATTATTCGGCCCTTGTCAGCTCATTGACTGATCTCACTAAAAAGGAGGGACCGGATACCGTCCAATGGTCGGAGCAGTGCCAACAGGCCTTCTCAAAGGTAAAATCTATACTTTGCGGGGGGCCGCTATTGCACGCTCCTGACTTTGCTCTCCCCTTTGTTTTACAGACGGACGCATCCGATCGGGGACTGGGGGCGGTTCTCTCGCAGGAGGTGGCGGGAGTGGAACGACCGGTGCTGTACATTAGCCGCAAACTCAGCAAGAGTGAGGCTAAGTACAGCACCATAGAGAAGGAGTGCCTGGCGATCAGGTGGGCCGTTCTCACTCTCCGCTATTAGCTCCTGGGTAGGGAATTCGCTCTCTGTTCAGATCACGCTCCTCTCCAGTGGCTTCACCGCATGAAGGATACCAATGCGCGGATCACCCGTTGGTATCTAGCTTTACAGCCTTTTAAGTTCAAGGTGATCCACAGGCCGGGCGTACAAATGGCTGTAGCCGACTTCCTCTCGAGGGCGGGGGGGGGGGGGGGGGGGGGGTGGGGGGCTGCAGGCCGGACGGCTCCCCGGCCTGAGGCGAGCGGTGGGGGTATGTGGAGAGGTAAGCGTGATCGAACACCCAATCAGGGGGGAGAGCATGCTAGGAGCCCGGCGGCTAATCAGCGGGTCAATCAGAAATGATAAATAACACCTGTCTTTCTAGTGATTGAGCCGGAGAGACTCCCTTCTTAAGGAGAACGGGAGGAGCAGTCGGGAGAGGAGAGAGCACACACACACACACACACACACCGTTACCTGTGTGGTGTCATTAAACAACAAATAAAATATTTGCTTACCTGAATCGCCGACCCTGTCTTCTTCTTCCCTCAACAACGAACATTATTACACTCAGATATTGTCAACAAACATTTGATGTCCGAATCAAAACATTCAATGCCAATGACAGAAAATGCAGAATTGTAAGATTTCTTAACTGATAGTTTGTGTTGCATTGTGTGTGTGTGTGTGTGTGTGTGTGAGTTTGCAGGTCCGTGTTGGAAGCAGTCGTTGGTAAAACTGAAGCTCAACTCTAGCTTTAGTCTTTCTGAAGTGCAGCTCCTGACCCAGGTGAGACACGCAAACGTTCTCCAGTCTGACATGACAACATTACAATCAGGGCTCTCATTTATAAAACTTTGTGTAGAAAATTGAAAAGTGAACATACATCAGAATGCTGAAGTTAGTTTAAGCAAAAACTTTGATCTTCATGCATCTTTGGATTTATACACCACAGATGATTTGAGAATTTGTGTATGTGGAAAAAAAAATGTATACATACACTGCCAATTCGAGTTTTAGCAACAGCAGATAATAACTGGACTTCTAGTTGATGATTTGGCATCAGAAGTGTCTCTATGAAAGGCAAAGGCCTCTAGATTTTGCTTGTTTGAGCTCAATAAAGTCTGATCATGTCTTGATGTTGACTGATTTGATGAGGACAGTGCGGTCTGACTCTGCTCAGACTAAAGTCTCATCACTGAACAGAAATAATGTCCAGTATAGAATATAAAGTCCTGCTGCAGTGGAAACAGAATGAATATTGTGTCTGACTCCATCATGAACTTGGAGGACTGCATCCATACATCTCTGACATGACTCACATCTGTGACGACCCCAGTACTTCAGTATGGATGTGGCAGATCCTGATTGGGTGCCTGGTTGATCACTAATTGGCTCAAACCATATAAAAGTGTTTTGTGTGCTAGCTTCTGGAGGACGGTGTGGCTACGGGCCGTCTTCGTGTTAAGATCATCTCTTCATTTCTGCAACCTTATGGTTTTGTTTAGCATTATTTATTTGTGTAGTTAAAGTAGTCATTTTCTTTATTTTCCCCTAGACGTTTGTTTGTTTGTTGATTTGTTGTTCTATTTAGTTTTATGTATAATAAATAAGTTGCATATACATTCTTTTGTTGTCCGAACTCTTTTATGTTGCGACTCAAACGAGGGGGTCGTAACATAAAATTGGGCGCTCGTCCGGATAATTTAACTACACAAGGTAATGCATTTTGTTTGTGTTCACCAATGTAAATGAGTAGACTTCAGGTAGTTAGAGTGTTCTCAGCTGGGTTTGTAATCCTTCCATCGAGACACGATTTGTTATTTTAGTTTGTTATTTTGCCTTTTTTATTTTTGAAGGTTATTCTGGATGGAGATTATTAAGTCTCTGTCGGGGGTACGCATCGGGCTTTTGGCTATGCCAATTGTCCTCGAGCTTATCGTTTAAAAGCCGCCCCGAGTCCGGTACACCTTTGAAGATTAGGTAGGTTAAGTTAGTTATATTTCGCGTAGGTAGGAACTGAAGTCTCTCATTTTCATTTTTTTCATAAGGTGACACTTTGTTTTTTCGTATTTGTTAATTACGATGCCCTCCGATTAATAGAGTAACTATAGTTTATAGTAATCTCTTATAACGGTGAGTTTTTACAAACTGAGCGCGTCTGCTGTTATTGTTCCTGGCGAAGTGGCTGATGGGATTTGTAGTTGTTAGGCGCTAGTTTCACGTGCGCTTCAGTGTGTGCGCGCTTTGTTATTGTTAGAGCGTTTGCTGTTGGCAGTCATGTCGTCTTCATCAATTATTGAAGATTTCTTTGCATTTCCTTCGGAGATACTACTGGAGAGATGTACGAAGGAGGAACTGTTGCAGATTGCGGAGCGTTTTGATATTGAGGTAACGAGTAATAACAAGAAACTCAAGGAAACACTGATGAAAGCTGTGAAGAGCGCACTTTGTGAACGCGGCGTTTTAGAGGTAAGAGCTCCTCTGATGAGTCTGTATCGTCTCCTGTTTGTGGTGTCGATCTAAATGCAAAGTTTAGTGAAATGTCGTTGCAAGAAAAACAGCTGTGTGTTGATGCGGAAAAATTTAGAGCCGAGCGTGATGTTTGTGCTTTGAAAGAGAAAGAGTTGGAGAATGATTTTGAAGTAAAGAAAATGCAACAACAGTTAGAAATGCGGAAAAATGGAGTTGGAGTTGCAGAAAGAGCGAGAGGAAAGAGAGTTTCAATTGTGAAAACTTGAGCTGGAATTGAAATTAAAATCACATCAAGCTCCTGTAATGTCAGCAGCTGAGTCAAATGTGTTTGATGTACAACAAAAACATTAAGCTAGTGCCGCCGTTTTTGGAGAGGGAAGTAGAGAAATACTTTCAGCATTTTGAACGTGTTGCAGAGTCATTAAAGTGGCCAAAGACTTTTTGGACATTATTATTGCAGTGCGTGTTGATAGGGAGAGCACAGGATGTGTATTCAGCATTGACTACAGAGCAAAGTAGCGATTATGAGATTATGAAGTCCGCTATTTTACAAGCTTATAAATTAGCACCTGAGGCTTATCGACAAAAATTCAGAACTCATTTTAAATCTGAGAAAAGCACTTTTCTTGAGTTTGCTAGTGAGAAAGAAAATCTGTTTGACCGCTGGTGCTCATCTGTAAAAATTAAATCTAAGGAGGAGCTTAGAGAGCTCATTCTTCTTGAAGAGTTTAAGTGCTGTGTCCCAAATGCTGTGGCCATGTATCTTAATGAGCATAAAGTGACTAAACTGTCTGAGGCTGCTCTTATGGCAGATGAATTTACTCTCACTCACCAGAATACTGCTCATGTAAATGATATGAGTAGATTAAAGCCGAATTCTATGAGTAAAAGTAAAAAGATGCTTTCACGTCAGCATGTTCTGTCAGTTCCTGCTGAAAATGTTTCACTCACACGTCAAAAAGGTGAAATTATTTGTTTTTATTGTAAAAAACAAGGACATAAAATTTCTGACTGTGCTATTTTAAAAAAGAAAGATAAATCTGTTAAACCTGTTGGTTTGATTTCAAAAGTGAATCACAATGTTAGCACTAAGCAGATTGAGAAAGTAAATATCAGTGAAATGGAGGATAAGACCAGTGTGGATTTTGGGCCATTCATTACTGATGGTTGTGTTTCTTTGCCTGACTCTGATGAATTTGTTCCTGTTCGTATTCTTCGTGATACAGGTGCAGGACAGTCATTTTTGATGCAAGGACTTTTGCCTTTGTCTGAACGTACTGCTACTAGGTCTTATGTGCTGGTCAGAGGGTTTGAAATGGGCTACATGGAAGTTCCATTGCACCACATTCACCTTAACTCCAAACTTGTAACAGGTGATGTAGTTGTAGGAGTTCGTGCTAACCTTCCTATTCCTGGTGTCACCTTTATACTTGGAAATGACTTGGCTGGTGGTAATGTGTGGGAGAAACCTGATGGTGAAATTCCACCTGTAGTGTTTCCTTCTGTTGAAGGATTGAATAAGCCTCCTGACTGTTCTGATTTGTTTCCAGCATGCGCAGTAACTCGAGCGATGACTAAGAGAGGAGTGTTGGATGAGACAGGAAGTGTTCTTAGTGATACTTTCATTTCATCTACAGACTCTGCACTAAAGCCTGGTACTGTGAACACCACTACAGTAGATGAAGAGACGTCTGTGCACGATATTACATCTGTTGATGCACATGTTGAAAAGCCTGTTTCACTTTCTGAAAGTCCACGTTGTGATGCTAATGCTAACATCTGTTTGTTATCTCCACTTCATAGTGTGACTCGAACTGAGCTGATAAAACCCCAGCATGCAGATGAAGCTGTTCAGGAGATGTTCTCCTTAGTCGGTGCTGGTGGAGAAAACAAAGTCTCCACGTCTTATATTCTTCGGGATGGGTTGCTTTGCAGACAACAGCCTATGTCTTCTGACTCTTCTCTTGATCCTAGGATCCAAATTGTGGTTCCTTCAATTTTTCGTCATGATGTCTTAAGGCTGTCACACCAAGGCCCTGCTGGTCATATGGGGGTAAGAAAGACATGTGATAGGATTTTGAGGGAATTTTATTGGCCTAGACATAAGAAAGATGTGACTAAATACATACGGTCTTGTCACAACTGTCAAATGACCGGGAAGCAAAATCAACGTATTCCATTGGCTCCTTTACAACCCATTGCTGTTTGTACTATCCCTTTTGAACATCTAATCATAGATTATGTGGGTCCTTTATCCCGATCTAAGGCCGGACATGCTTATTTGCTTACTGTAATGTGCCAGTCTACACGTTATCCTACAGCTTATCCATTAAGATCGATCACAACAAAATCGATTTTAAAGGCTTTGACAAATTTCATGTCTATCTTTGGTATTCCAAAAACCATTCAGTCTGATCAAGGTTAAAATTTTATGTCCCGACAATTTTCAAAAGTTCTACAACAACTAAAAGTTAAACACAATATCTCAAGTGCTTATCATCCTCAGAGTCAGGGAGGTTTAGAAAGGTTCCACCAGACTCTTAAGTCACTTTTGAGATCCTATTGTGTTGAACTTGATTGTGACTGGGAGGATGGACTTCCTTGGATGTTGTTGGCTATTTGTGAAGTTGTTCAAGAGAGCACGGGTTTTAGCCCCAATGAGTTGGTGTTCGGACACACAGTTCGAGGCCCGATTGCTGTTTTAGCCGATGAATGGAACATCACTGATCCACCTGAGAATGTTCTAGATTATGTCAGTGGTTTTCGTTATCGACTTTATGAAGCTCGAGCTATCGCTTTGCGAAAACTAGGTAAGTCTCAGGAAAAGATGCAGAGGTTGTTTGATCGCATAGTTAAACTCCGAAGTTTTCAGGTTGGCGATAAAGTTTTAGCATTGCTTCCTGTTTTGAGTAGTACGTTTCAAGCTAGGTTTAGTGGACCATACACCATAGTAAAGTGTTACACGAATAACAACTATCTTTTAAGTACACCTGATCGTCGGAAGAAAGTACAGGTTTGCCATGTCAATTTGCTGAAGCCATACTTAAGCCCTGTTTCATCTCTTTCAGTACATGTCGTGACCTCCGATCTTGACTCCAGTGTTTTAGGAGCCTCTGTGGACATGACTACTGATCTGGATGAAAAGAGTGGTCCTTCACGAGGAGTTGTGGAAGGACGCCTGAATAATTCAGAATTTCTTGCTAATCTCTCTCAACATCTGTCTCATTTGTGCGAACCAGAAAAGACCAGTATCATTGAGTTGGTAAATTCATTCCCTTCTATCTTTTCTGATGTTCCTACTCAAACTCATGTCATTCAACATGACATTGATGTTGGGATGGCTTCACCTGTAAAACAACATCCATATCGGGTGAATCCTGTTAAAAGGAAACTACTTGAGAAAGAAGTGGAATATTTGCTTGCTCACCGTTTAGCAGAACCCAGTTTTAGTTCGTGGAGCTCCCCCTGCATTCTAGTGACTAAATCAGATCAATCTTATAGGTTTTGTACTGATTATAGGAAGCTCAATTCACTTACAAAACCTGATTGTTTTCCTTTACCCAGAATCGATGATTGTGTAGATCGGGTAGGATCTGCACAGTTTGTGAGTAAGTTTGATCTTTTAAAAGGATATTGGCAAGTGCCGTTAACATCTCGTGCTAAGGAATTGTCTGCTTTTATTACACCAGACAGTTTCCTACAGTACACCGTGATGCCTTTTGGAGTTCGAAATGCTCCAGCAACTTTTCAACGTCTGGTAAATCGAGTGTTGTCAGGGATGCAGGGATGTGAAGCCTACCTTGATGATGTTGTGCTGTACAGTTCTACTTGGTCAGAACATCTAGCACAAATTAGAGAACTGTTTGAACGTTTAGCTAAAGCAAACTTGACTGTTAACCTTGCCAAGTGTGAGTTTGGTAAGGCTACAGTGACTTATTTGGGTAAGGTGGTTGGCCGAGGGTGCGTTCGTCCTATTAGTGTTAAAGTTGAAGCTATCTCTAGTTTTCCCACTCCCACTACTCGTCGTGAGTTAAGGCGTTTTCTCCGAATGGTGGGTTACTATAGAGGTTTTTGTAAGAATTTTGCAGATGTTGTTGCCCCTCTGACAGATCTATTGAGCCCAAAAAGACCTTTCCATCGGTCCGTGCAGTGTCAATGTGCTTTTGATAATGCTAAATCTCTTTTAGCTAATGCTCCGGTGTTGACTGCACCAAACTTTGAGAAACCTTTTCTTCTAGCGGTGGACTCTAGTGCTTTTGGTGCTGGTGCAGTTCTTCTTCAGGAAGATGACAAAGGAGTTGAGCATCCAGTCAGTTATTTTTCAAAAAAAAATCAATTGTCATCAGCAGGTCTACTCCACAGTGGAAAAAGAGGCTTTAGCTCTTGTGTTGGCTGTTCAACACTTTGAGGTCTATTTGAGTTCAGTTTGTGGTCCTATTGTCATCTATACAGACCATAATCCTTTAACTTTCTTGGATCGAATGCGTGGAAAGAACCAGCGGATTATGAGATGGAGCCTTATATTGCAACCATTCTCTCTGCTGATTAAACATTCGTGGCAAAGACAACCTGATTGCTGATGCTTTCTCAAGAGTGTAAAATCTCCCATTAGGTTGGGCATATCTTTTGTTTGTCTTTCTCTCTCTCTCTCTCTCTCTCTCTCTCTCTCTCTCTCTCGATTCTGTCTCTCTCTCATTTTCTATCTCTAGTCTTAACTCTGATTTCCTAGGGCCCAGGAGTTGGGGAGAAAACTGGAGTGAGATTTATGGAGATGAGTACTCCTGTTATTGTAAATTTCAATTTAGTTGGTTTATGTTCTGTTTGTTCCACTAGTTGTTTTTGTCGGTTCTTTAGGGAACCTCCTTTTGGAGTGGGAGGTGTGACGACCCCAGGACTTCAGTATGGATGTGGCAGATCCTGATTGGGTGCCTGGTTGATCACTAATTGGCTCAAACCATATAAAAGTGTTTTGTGTGCTAGCTTCTGGAGGACGGTGTGGCTACGGGCGGTCTTCGTGTTAAGATCATCTCTTCATTTCTGCAACCTTATGGTTTTGTTTAGCATTATTTATTTGTGTAGTTAAAGTAGTCATTTTCTTTATTTTCCCCTAGACGTTTGTTTGTTGTTCTATTCAGTTTTATGTGTAATAAATAAGTTGCATATACATTCTTTTGTTGTCCGAACTCTTTTATGTTGCGACTCAAACGAGGGGGTCGTAACAAATCACTGATTAATAAAGTTATCTGGAATGAAGAAGAAAGCCTTCAGCAGGATCCCAGAGTTCATCAAGACTTTTTTTGTTCATCTTCAACCCCTCCTCCATCTTAACCCAGACATGCTCAATATTCATAACTGGTGACTGGGCTGGTCAATCCTGGAGCACTCTTTGCTTTCAGGAGCTTTGATGTGGAGGCTGAAGTATGAGGAGCGCTATCCTGCTGGAGAATTGTCCCTCTCCTGTGGTTTGTAATGTAATGGGCAGCACAAATGTCTTGATACCTCAGGCTGTTGATGTTGCAGATCCCCATACTGAATGTAACCCTAAACCATGATTTCTCTTTCACCAAACTTGACTATTTTCTGTGAGAATCTTGGCTCCATGCTGGTTCCAGTAGGTCTTCTGCAGTATTTGTGATGATTGGGATCCAGATCAACAGATTCAGCAGAGAAATCTCCCTTCTGACACTTTTACAGATGATCAACTAGAAGTCCAGTTGTTATTTGTTGCTCTTACAACTGATATCAATGACAAGACTTTTGTAAAGTAGTGTGTATATTTAATAATAATAATAATAATAATAATATATAACACTGTTAAAATGTCCTTGCTCTGTTAAACATAATTTGGAAAATATTTGAATAAGAAAAAAATAAATCACTTATTACTAATAAATTTCATAATTTTATTGTTTATAATTTAACAATTTCTAATAATTAAATTTAAATCTCTAATAGTTTTGACCTCAACTGTGTATGTGTATATATATATATATATATATATATAATTCACTTTTTAAAAATGAGATTTGTTTCAGCTGGAATCTGCTCTGGCCCGAAGAGGACTTTCTGACGTGACGCTGCACTGGACGCAACTGCCCAAACAGGAAGTGATGCCAAAGCAAGTTGCGCCAGGTCAGTGTGTTCATGTTTTAAACATTTGCTGCGTCTCAGTTTGCCAATTTTATCTCTGTTTATCTCACTAGGTTACAGATATCCTTGCAACTAACAATACTGATACTAACATCTAATATTTTTTTATTCAAATTTGCTTTCAATGCATTCACTGTATCAGGAATACCTCAGGGTTCAGTCATGGGTTCACTGTTATTGTGGTCTTGAGTTTTATCACTGAACTTTACTGGTTGATGATGAAGATATACGAGAACACAGGGATGCAAGATCACTTAAGAACGCATATTGAGAATCAACCATCATGTAATGTGGGTAATATTAGCAGGTAGGTCCAATAGTATCTGGATGCAGCCTTTATTATGCAAGCTGAGATTGCATCACTCAGCAATGCAATGTCAGACACAATGCACTCAATGGAGTGGGTGATGTCACTGTGATAGGTAAGGTTAGGGGAGGGGTTAGGTGAGCGCATTAAAAAGCATTGGATGCAGTTCAGATTGCACTGCACCAGGTCTGTATCCAGACCCCTCTCGGTAGCTCATGTGATTATTACAAATACTGAATATGCACTCTCAGAAATAAAGGTACGGGAGCTGTCACTGGGGCAGTACCTTTGCAAAAGTTCATAATGGTACCTCAAAGAAACTTTTTAGGTACATTTAGATACTAATATGCACCTTTTAGGTACCACTTTGGACTATTTGGGTACAAATATGTATCTTTAAAAAAGGTTCTGTTCCAGTGTCAGCACCTGTACCTTTATTTCTGAGAGTGTAGAATGTCCAAATTACATTATACTCCCATTTATACTATATAGATCAGGGGTTCTCAACTGGTTTGGCCATGGGACCCACATTTTTACATGATCATTAAGCCGCGACCCAAATTTTTAGGAGCTATAATACAATTTTATTAATTATAATTAATTTGCATTCATTTATTAACATAAAGTAGTGACAAATACATCATAAGAAATTCACCAAGGCCATATATAATAAAAATAAACAATATTTTATTGCTGTCATTTAACAAATTGGATCAAATTATATAAATATTACAAAGTAAAAACGATAAATACTGTTAATAAAAAACTGTTAATAAAACATGTTTACTGGTTTCTAAGTGTTGCTTTAATTTGGAAGGTTTCGTCTTCTCTTATGAGTGCACCTCACTACATATGACACAGAGGCTTTAAGTCTTTTTTGTCGTCAATATATATATTCATACTTTACATATTAGGGGTTGTACTTACGCTTCGACATATGGGGTATATGCCGAAGCATGCTAATAGGACTTTTAATTTGACAGTAACCTGGGTTTAGCGCTTCCGGCAAATTGAATGCCAATGCAAAATCCGGTGCGTTTAAGGTCTGTTTTCTTTAAAAATCAGCGATCTCCACTGGCTGAGTGATATCCGATTTAAAGTGGGTCTCAGATTGTACAAGAAGCACTGCATTAAATTACATTTACACCCGCCATATCTTTATAATATGAGCATTTATTTTACTCCACTAAATTCAATGGAGCTTCTGCGCTAGCCTGCTGATTCTGACGGGCGCGTGTGAGTAAACGGCTTTTTGTCTCGTTTTACACTTGAGCAACTAAATAAATGCTAAAGTTTATTTAACTGAATGTATTTTAATGACATTACAACATCGATGCTGTATAAGGAACCGTATAAAATGGGAAAAAGTTCACAATAACAGGTCACCTGAAGTGTATCAGCATGGGAACAGCACTCGCTCGGCATATACCCTATTTGTTGCAAAAATTAAATTAAATTTCACTTGTAAAATGGTAGGGTTGTCGCGCACGCATTTCATAATAAAAGTCCGGCATAAGCAAAATAAGTAAAAAAATTTACTTTTGTTTTTTTTTTGACCACACACACTCCTCGACCCACTGAAAATGTTCCCGCGACCCACTTTTGGGAGACACTGATATAGAGCACACTTTACTGATGGTCATAGTAAATTCAAATTGCACATATTTGATTAGTAGATGATTTCAGACGCAGATTATGATTTGGGACATGCTAATTCTATTTTTGAATGCTATTGAGGACGGATAGTAAGGAAATTGGGACGCAGCAATAGAGAAACATTTCCATGAACATGTGTATTACAGACTAAACAGAAAACAAGAGTTCTTGTTTTCCCTTGTAACGTAGTTTATAAATGCATAAAGAAATGCCAAATGATGAAATATCTGATGCAATCAGTGTTTTATTGATATTTTGCACTTATTTAATTATTTGAACTATTTTATTTTTAAATATTATTACTTCATTTAGTGGATATGTATTATTCATTGTATTATTTCAGTTTATATTATTACATTTATTAAAATTGTTAATTACTATAATTATTGATGTTTTTATTTTTAATTAATTAACGTATATTTTATTATTTACAGCTAAAAGAAAGAAACACTGAAAACTGAAACTCCCTGAGGATCATCTTGGATTTTCTTTATCATTTAGTGGATTTATTTGTTTGAATGTAGATCAAATATTTAGTGTGATTTTAATATTTACTGAATTTTAATGCTTTAACGGTTGTGTTAAATATTGTAATTAATATTGTAAGTAAATACACCAAGTATTTAAGTATTTTCAGAATATTTAATTTATTATATTGTTATATTTATTTTTAATTATATTATTCATTAATTTAATGTTGTATTTTTGTATTAGTTTTATATAGCTTATACTTATTATTTTTTAAACTGAGTTATGCTGAATAATGTTTATATTTAATCATTTAATATCACATTGACAGCTCTTAATCCTGACGTTTCAGAGCAATTATTACAGAAATATTTTTATTTTATAATGTTGCCTAATTGCTTGTATTTTGTTTATAATATGTCTTTAGAATATTATGCTAGTTCAAAAATAAATTAATGCAGAATATTTTGATATTTAAACGATTTATAAACATTTCAATGTATTAAATTACATCAATATTAATTCTGTTATACAATTACATTTTTGCATTATGGTATTGATTATATTATTATTATTATTATTATATGTTTATGTAATATTAACTTCATTTGCAATTTTTTATTTATATTTTATATATTTATAAGCCTTTTCAAGCACTTTGTCATCAATATCAGACTAAAATAATATTGTTACAGTATATGATATTTGAAAAGCACGTTCACCTCACAGCAAGAAGGTCGCTGGTTTGTGCATCAACTGGGTCAGTTGGCATTTCTGTGTGGAGTTTGCATGTTCTCCACATGTTGGCGTGGGTTTCCTCCGGGTGCTCCAGTTTCCTCCACAAGTCCAAAAAACCTGTGGTATGAGTGAATTGGGTTGGCTAAATTGTCCGTAGTGTGTGAGTATGTGTGTGGGTGTTTCCCAGTGATGGGTTGCAGTTGGAAGGGCATCCGCTGTGTAAAACATATGCTGGATAAGTTGGCAGTTCATTCCGCTGTGGTGACCCCAGGTTAATAAAGGGACTAAGCCGACAAGAAAATGAATGAATATTATTATAGTATACTATTGTTTTTAGATTTGCAAGCTGTTGGTTTAATATTCACTTTCTAAATCTATTTTACATTTATTAATAGTTAATCACTATCTACTTTAATTTTAGATGTGTGGTATAAAGCTAAGAAGCTCTATCAATTGAATACTAAGCTTAGAGCGCCACACTTTGGTGGCTTACAGTAAGTACAGTTCACTCATAAAAGGCTGGGTTGTGTTAGCTCGATGTGCAGCTTTATGTTTCCACTTAACAAACCTGCAATATTTCTATATTTGTCATTAAAACATAATTAATGTGCTCATTTGTTATTTCAATTCTATAAATCTTTTTATATAGTTTTATTTTGATGTTTAATACATTTTTGATTTAATATTTATGATGCAGAGAAAACTCTGGATTTATGCTGACAATTTGATTTTAAATTAATAAATGCTTAAAATGCAGAATTTAAAAAAGAAAGAAAAAATATAAGCTATATTTAAGATACAAAATTAAATTTAATATAACTTTAATTAAATATAACTCTAACTGCCTAAAACAATTAATTATTCCTAAATTATTTAAGTATTTGGTGTATTTATTTTTGTGCTTGTGTAATAATAAAAATAATGTGATTTTTCAGAAACATAATTTAATAAAAAACAATATTTATATGTTAATAAAGCCAGAGTGCACTTTTGAAATGAGATTAAAGTACTATAATATAATATAATATAATATAATACAGTGATAGACATTTGTTACAAACAAAAAATAAAGTAAAGCATATATTACAAAAATTTAACAAAATATATTTCACTACAAATAAAACAAATATAAATAGTGACTCTTAATCCCATTAATTAACCATTTCTGTGTGTTTTATTGGGACAATATTTTGCTGAGATACATTGATTGAAAATTGAATCTGATGACGATAAAAATATTGAGAAAATCACCTTTATTATTGATCAAATTAATCTCTTAGAAATGCATATTCCTAATACAAACTGAATAAATTTATTGCAGAGATTTTACACAATGTCTTCATAGAACATGAGATTTTGATATTTTAATGACATGAAATTAAAGTTGATCATCTTATTGTTGGTTATTCTTACCCATATACTGGTTTTATGCTCACAATTATTAAAAACATTGCTGTTGTTTAAGTTTAAAACAGCCAATAGCCAAATTTTGTGTATGTATATATATATATATATATATATATATATATATATATATATATATATATATATATATATATATATATATATATATATATGTATGTATGTATGTGTGTATATATGTATGTGTATGTATGTATGTATGTGTATGTATGTATGTGTATGTATGTATGTGTATGTATATATATATATATATATGTATGTATGTATGTGTGTATATATGTATGTGTATGTATGTATGTATGTGTATGTATGTATGTGTATGTATGTATGTGTATGTATATATATATATATATATATATATATATATATATATATATATATATATATATGTATGTATGTGTGTGTGTATATATGTATGTGTATGTATGTGTATGTATGTATGTGTATGTATATATATATATATATATATATATATATATATATAT